GGCTGTAACATCTCACTCACCTTTTTATGCCGATTGACGGCCGCGATGCTCATTTTACGCTTTTTTTCCATCTGCTTTTCGATGTATTCATCGATAAGGTCTTCGCAGGATAGGAGGTTCTCTCTCGGTTCCCAAGTATCCTCCTCTGGTCCATATCCTTGCCATCGTACTTTATAAAGAGTTTTACCCTAGAAAAACAAAAAAAAGCCAAATAAGATCCAAGATTGTACTACTGCAGGAAATTATCCCATACTTACAATGGTGTTTATATAACTTTGGAACTTGATTCTATTGTGTCTAAGCGTACATTGCACACTTGTGTTGGCTTTGTGGTGAATGAGTGAAAATTAGAGCGAATAGTCTAGACCAAGGTACACACAAGTGAAATGACCATAGCAGTACCTGTCAACTTCAGTATGTTAAACCATCAATTGTGTCAACAACAAAAATAGATTCCTTGTAGTATTTTTGAGGGCAGACTTTTATTCAGCCACGTGTCTGCCTGGCATTTTAGACAGGCACTAACAATTAATTTGACAGACACAAAATCTTTACAAACCTGTCCAGTTTTGATTGAAAATTACCAGTAAATTACAAAATAACCATAAATAAACCACAAAAATATTGATTGTAAGTCTGTGGTTACAGACTCGGAACGTCTTTCTTTTATTTCCATAAAGTTTTTAGACAAGCACTTTTAGACAGGCTATAACAGGGTTCTCCCCTGGGCATTATCGAGTAAGGGTTCCCAACTGTTAAATTTTGGATAAACAACAAAACAAATTTTGCATAACAATGAATACATGTTCTATTAGTATGTATGGCTGATATTGTATGCAATTTTTCTGGGGACAACACTGTGTAACCATGTTTGAGGGCGCCCTCACATAATTCTGATGGGACAGAAAATGTGTAATTTTATGCAAGGTCTATGAAACTTGTTGTCGAGTTCAATATTACCATTGAAACTCACTAGAATACAAAAATGTGTTATCTCCCCAAACTTTGGTGGAGATTATATACATGTATACTCAAAGTATTTGGATGTAGGTCATTTTGACCAACTAACAATTTTACATGAGGTGTCAAGTGTTATTCCAGGTGTATTTTTTTTTTTACCCAAAATTGCTGTGACACTTATGTTTCTCAGGTTTTACTCAACATTTTTCAATAACAAAAAATTGCAGTATTCATTTTAAATTTTTAACAGTACGGTACTCATTTGAATCTTCAAACAAAGGATTTATTCACTTTGCAGTCACATGACCCCATGAAGGTTACATCTAACATCAATTTTTAGTTAATGTGAGTTTTCATAAAATATGTAGTTTCATACGCTTTAATAAAACAATTCTGTTATGGAAATATAGTGACAATTTTACTTCCTGAAAACCTCTACACTTTCCTGAACTCAATCTTCAGGATAATGGAAGCTTGGGGATGGAACAGCCCTAATTCTCAGGATATCAGTAATCTTGTTTCTTCGTCTGACCAGTTTGACATTCAACCTGTAACCTCTGACGCCATCTTGTGTAATGACAAGCATAAATAAGTCGGCAATAGAGGGAGTTTGGCTGTTGTATTGTATTCACACAGCAAATTGCGTTGTGCAAGAGCTGGTATGACAACAGCGTTTAGGATCTGGTCCACCCCAAAAGGCGTTGTGACAACGGCTTATTTCGTCCAGTGAGAACACCACTAATGTCCTTGAGAATTGCCTGGTACAAGCGCGGTTAAGTATGTTATGTCCTTGAGATTTACGAATTACATCATTACAAGCAAGTTCAGGCTGGTCAAGTCCTTGAGAATTACGAATTACATCATTACAAGCAAGTTCAGGCTGGTCAAGTCCTTGAGAATTACGAATTACATCATTACAAGCAACGTCAGGCTGGTCAAGTCCTTGAGAATTACGAATTACATCATTACTGGCAAGATCAAGCTGGTCAATCCCTTGAGAATTACAAATTAAGTCATTACTAGCAAGATCAAGGTGGTCAAGTCATTGAGAATGACATCATTACTGGCAAGGTCAAGCTGGTCAAGTCATTGAGAATGACATCATTACTGGCAAGGTCAAGCTGGTCAAGTCATTGAGAATGACATCATTACTGGCAAAGTCAAGCTGGTCAAGTCCTTTGAGAATGACATCATTACTGGCAAGGTCAAGCTGGTCAAGTCCTTGAGAATGACATCATTACTGGCAAGGTCAAGCTGGTCAAGTCCTTGAGAATGACATCATTACTGGCAAGGTCAAGCTGGTCAAGTCCTTGAGAATGACATCATTACAGACAAGGTCAAGCTGGTTAAGTCCTTGAGAATGACATCATTACTGGCAAGGTCAAGCTGCTCAAGTCCTTGAGAATGACATCATTACTGGCAAGGTCAAGCTGAGAATTATATCACAGTGTAATGCTCAAAAACTAAGCATTAGTATCTAATTCTGTACAGTATACATTCTTTACTTAATTTATTTTATGAATAAGCCAAGCTAAGCTGATTTGTGGTTTTCAGCGAAAAGAACTTCAAGTAAAAGTTATCAGCAGTGACTCGAAAGACCCTATTATTAGTCATTACTGGCAAGATCAGACCGGTCACTCTTATTTAGCTTAGTTTGTTTTATTTTATCTATTTATTTTTTATGTAACCTTTTTATTCCTACTTAAAAATTTTGTAACCATTGCCAATCCCCCTTGGGAATGTGTAAGTGTTAATGATTATTATTATTAATATTCCCACTCTGTAACATATGTAGATCTCCTCCCACTCTTTGTGATCACTATAGTAAATGATAAAATCAGTTGGCATGGCAAGAATCCTGAAATACTGAAGCTAGTGTGCACATAGTTGCCTGTCCCTGTATTTTAAGGTCTATGGCCTGCACTAAAGATTATGGTGTACAATTACCAAGTTACATGTCATTGCTGTAATCACTCAATGTCATATTTAGGTACTAGTATATAATGGTTTAGAAGATGTTTCTAAATTAAATTTCAGGATCCTGTTCTCTACCATCTCCTACATTGTATGATCAGTACAAAATCTCAAACTTTTGTGGTGCTCACAGGGTTCCATAAGTGGGTTTCTACAGAAGCAGATTACCGGGTAGTTCCTGTCAACTTAAGCTGTTGCAAACTGATGCATGCCATTTCGTGGAAATACCATTTCACAAAAAGTTGAATATATAGTGTTATTTAAGTATTCATATATCATCAAATATCATATGAAATAAAATATTGCGTGTAATTGTCAATTGTGTAAAAGAAATGGCTTTTAAAGATCTAAAAGCAGGAAAACTCATTTTTTTTCAGTGTTGTTGAGTGATAGCATTATGATTAAAACACTCCACAAAGAAGACTGCAGTCTGTAAATAAGGTAGGGCATAAGGTCACCCACCAAACATGATGGAAAGAAAGCAGAACTTTTTGACATCAAGCTTTTTTTTAATTTTAGCTTGAGTCTACAGTGCTATTTTGTTTATTGGTGGTTCAATCATCGGTACTTCAAAAGTTTTATTTTCAACATTGGTATCATCATTTTTTTTAATTTTTTTTTATAGAGGGAATCAGACATCAGCTGTGGCAGTGATTGTTGATGTACTGCTTATAAGTACCGGTA